ATCCTTCACCTCCTGATGAAAACTCAGATGTGACGTCACACGGAGCTGCAGTCACTCTGTAAACATCAGATATTATATCTGATTTAAAACCACAAACTGAACCGGTCTGGGTCGGGTTTGTCTCGTTCAGACTGGAATAAATGAATCGGATTTGCCTGCAGTGTGAACGTAGCTTTAGTCTTGAATTGACATTTATAAAATAAAGTTTTATAAACTGTTAATGAAGCCTAATGGTTTGTGGTTTTACTCTGTTTTTAATATGAAAATATTTCGGCACCTCCAGGCTTCCGTAGTTTCCATAGCAAYAGCGCTGCGGCCGCCATGACGCGATCCTCGGTTTGTTTTTCCAGAAAATGTCCACTTTATCTTTAACTGATGAGAAATATAAAATATGAGTTTGTTTCAGAACCGCCGGAGATCAAAGTTTATTTTCCCGCTGCAGTGAAGCTCGTTGAGCCGTAAAGTGTTTGCTGTGTCGTGAAACAGCTCCTGACGTAAGTTGTTGATTTAAAACAAACTCAGCACTTTGACAGTTAGTGATTGAATCATTTTATTTTATCAGTTAAATATTTGATGAAGTGAAAACGGATCAATCTGATGAATAAACGTGTTTAGGTGAAATCAGTAGTTAGGTACAGATTTATTAACAAATCTGTCTGAATGATGTCAGTTTGGTTTTATATCAGGCCATGAATCAAGTGTAGACACAGAGAAAGTAAATAAAATGTAAAAATCGTTCTTAGATCAGAACCAGAAGCAGAACCAGAAGCAGCTGTTAAATGTTCAGGAAGCAGCAGATTCTGATGGTTTATGATGAATAAAATCCAAGAAGTTTTTTTCCTCTCAGATTTCCCGTTGGTTCCTCCTCACAGACAGCATGCAGGTCAGAACCTTTCACATTTCATCTGAACACTGCTGCAGAACCACAGTCAGAACCTTCTGTCTGGTTCTGTTCTCCAGGTTCTGCCCATCTGGGCTCTGTCCGTCCCTCTTCCAGCAGTTCTGATGATCACTGTGGGTCTCTACATGCTGGTGCTGGGGATCGGGCTGTGGATCCGGTACTGCCTGAAGGTGAGTTCTGTGGGTTCTATTGGGTCGGTTCAGTTCAGTTTATTTCTACAGCTCCAAGTCCAACACACGTTGTCTCAGGACACTGTAGATAAAAAGAACAATGTAAAGAAGAAAG